AGCATCTGATTGTGGGAAAATTTAATAACCAATCCTTCATAATCTCAAAAAAATAATCCTTATGCAAGATCTCATGTTGGTCTCGAACGAAAATATGATTTCTGGTCTTGCTCACAGTTTGCCTCATCAAACAATCCTTTTTATTCTGGACTACTTCGGAGCTCATTGTGCATAGACGATTAGTGTGCATCCCAGGTGACATGACCCGAAAATCCGAGGCAATCGTTTGGATCCACAGGCGACTGTTTGCTTGACACCAGTCTCGACACACTACTGTCGACCAGTAAGTAGTCAGTTGGGCAAAGTTAATATTGGAGCTCATTCTGGACTACTTTGGAGCTTATTGTGTATAAACGATTAGTGTGCAACCCAGGTGACATGACCCGAAGATCCGAGGCAATCTTTGGGATCCACAGGCGACTTTTTGCTTGACACCAGTCTCGACACACTACTGTCGACCAGTTAGTAGTCGGTTGGACAAAGTTAAAATTTCCCTATTAGCAGCTCGAAGGGTTGGAGAGGAGAATGCAAAGGGCATAGCCTGTTGGGAAGCTACCAGATGTCAGATCACACCAGTCCTGTCCGCTAATCCTGATACGACTGGGGGCGGGGGTCAGGGGTGCCTTGAAGCCGACTCCAACCCTCCGCACGAGGTGGACCTGGCAACCAACATCGGCTCCAAGGGCGTGGTTTTCTGTGGGAAAATGGAGAAATTTCCCCTCACTACAAGAATAGAGAAGCAGACGAGAGCCAGGCTCTACAATCTGACATTCAGTCCAGCCTAGCCCTCTTGCTGTCTCCAGCCTGCACAACCGAGGAGCGATGGACCGTCCGTCTGGCTCGGCATGAACAGGAAAAAAATCCACTAAAGCAAGACAGAAGATAAAATGGCTGACTGACGTCTGAGAGGGTGTCTGTTGTAGGCCGAATCGACTAATCCTGGCATTTCTTCATTCCAGTTACCAACTGCTATCTACCGCCTCGGTTTCCACCTCACTCATGCGCCTCATCTTGAATCACACCAAGCGACTGTAATTAAGATTAACGCAACGCAATGAGATGATTTCCTCATGATTCACCCTCGAAGGTCAATTCATGCATCGGTTTGGCCGAACAAAGGTGACTTTAATTCTTGTTCCAGATGTGACTACTCTTTTGGATTATAGTAACATCTTCGACTGTGTCTAAATACACAGGCTTATGGTGTGCATGTACCGAATTTCGTTTAAGGCCATAAGGGAAAAACTGATAGTTGCATTTTCCCGCAAGCATAACACTAGAACTCACATGACAAGTATTCACCCGATTTCGTTCAAGGA